TGATAGAGAAGAGGCAAAACTGTTGAAGGGGGGACAGGAGGAAGAAGATGAAGTTTTTTTTATTTTTTTTTTCCCTTAAGGTTAAAAAATTATGAAACAATAATAAAAAAATTTTAAATTTTCTTTGCTGGATTTACACATCATTAAAATTAAAAAAAAAATCAAGTGATTTTATGGCATTTTAACGTGCCATCTGTCATTTAATTGACAAAAGGACCGTTTTGGTGTCAAAAATGAAAATTTAAAGATAATTTTGGTACTTTTAAAAGTTAAAGGATAATTTTGATGTAAAAGTAAAAAGTTGAGGGATCAAAATGGTAGTTAAACCATTAGGATGAGGCCTAAAGGATTTATGACATGCAATTTCTCTTAGGAATACTTTCAAGCTAATGGTACGTAGTACTGTATACTTAGTACTTGTTATAATAACATAGCCAACAGTGCATTGTAAATTATGAGAATTGATGATTCATGACTAAACTTGATCATATATCATACATGTCCAAAAATGCATTCAAATTGTGAGATTGTGTTAATTTATCTTAAGAGTAGATTGAAAGGTATTTAGTAACACTACAACATTTAACTAAAGGAATATGTGAATATTAGTTTCTGTCAAAGGTTATTTGTATGATATGTTCATTATCTTTCTTTAATATTAATATAATGCTAAATTTGATCTATTCTTATTTTATATCTTTATTTGTGCTTAATGTCTTATGTATAATTATAAGTTTTTATCAATTAGATAAAAATTTTCTTGTTTCTGTAAATGCCATGGCTTTGTTCTATTAATAGAATTTTAGCTGTGTTCAAATATATATATATATATAAGAATAGTAAATATCAATCTCATTTCAAAAAGAAATAAGAGTCTAAATTTTAAATAATGCTATGTTATTTAATTAAAATTTAATTTAAAATTTATTAATGATTTAAGTAGTTCAGTTGTAATTTTTTTTATAAAAATTCAATTGTAATTTTTTTTATGAAAATAAGAGATTTTAAGTTCAAATCATATGACATAAATTAAAAAATAAAATAGGGTTGTTTCTTTTTTTGCAACTCAAGATAAAAAAAAAATCTAATTCAAAATTTAAAATTCTAT